TCAAGCTGTAAAATTTTAAAACCAAAATATACGAACGAATTGTAAAACCAAACGAAAAAGTTCCTCGACTTATCTGGTCGCTATCTAATCTTTGTTCCGGTATTTATTTCACATTGTAAACGCGTAAATTTAACGATAGTGTTCCATGCTGAACAGTATCGGTCCTTTACAGATCACTGAATGCGCCCGTAGTGTTTCGCTTTTATTTTGTTTTAATGGCTCCCCCCTGTTTGTAGTAATTTGTGCCGCGTTAGGATTGGGCGTGGTATATGTGATTTGAATTTGATTTTAAAGTTAGTTATAAAGTTGACTGTCTTGCTGGTCTTGGTGGTTCGAAGTAAGAGTGCCGAGCAAAGGCACTTCGAATTCGATTCTTGAGTCGGTAGTCAAAAGATTATTAGGATTTATACCATCTCCCCAATCCCTGAATAACCAACGATATTCAAACTCCTAATCCCCAAAAGGCAGGTAACGCACTTGTAACGTCTCTGGTGTTCCGGGTATCCATGGGCGACGCCGTTTGCTTACCAACAGGTGATCCGTCTGCTCGTTAACCAGCTTATGCCATAAAAAAAATGTCCCAGATCAAATAGCACGGAGTCAGGAATTGTACTCGGTAATTAAGATTAAGCTCACTCCCTATTACATAGGACCCATAACATGACCTGTAAAAGGTGGGTGTTACATTGAAATGTACACTTTTATCTAACTGTTTAAAACCTCTTTTTGTTTTAACAAATCGCCCCACACTAGGATTTATCTCATGGGTTACATACATACATACATAACATCACGCCTTTTATCCCCGAAGGGTAGGCAGAGGTGAACATTATACCACTGTACAATGTAACACCCACTTTTTATTATTTATGTTATGAGTCCCATATAATAGGGGGTGAGCCTATTGCCATATATCGGGTACAATTCCAGACTCCGTGCTACTACTGAGAATATTTAAAAACCCAGTAATACTTTGCCCGACCCGGGAATCGAACCCGAGACCCCTTGCCCGGCAGTCACACTTACGACGACTGGGCCAACGAGGCAGCCATCTCATGGGTTCTAGACGTTATATTTACTCCAAACTATAAACTTTATCACACATTCTCATAACATACAAATCAATAACACAGTCAATCACAATCACAAGCCACAGGCATCTATCAAAATATAACACATACCTACTAATATAATACACCCGATGACGTAGTACGGTTGAAGGCGGAAGGCACTTTGCTAGTGACGTCGATGTAAGCAGTGGCAGCCGTCGAACTTCGTCCCCGTCAAGTGTCAGACGCAGACATCGGCGGTGGCATGTCGAATCAGCTTGTATTAGCCTCAAAATGGGAGCAAATTTCCACCAAATCATTCTCATTGATTGGTGAATAGGAAATTATGGTGTAAGTTGTTTAAATTGAAGTGTTTTTTTTAAAGGGATTTTTTTGTAATTCTGAAGGAGTTTGTCATAATACGCACGTTTGATAGGTTTGGGGATCACAGATAAGGTTTCGATATACATAATTATTTGCAAGTGTTGCTGCCCTTTCCATGGTCATTGGTTAAGGACATACAAACACTAGTGTTTTCGTATAAAGTTACATAACATAACATCACGCCTTTTATCCCCGAAGGGGTAGGCAGAGGTGCACATTATGCCACTGTACAATGTAACACCCACTTTTCACTATTTATGTTATGAGTCCCATGTAATAGGAGGTGAGCCTATTGCCATATACCGGGCACAATTCCAGACTCCGTGCTACTACTGAGAATTTTTTAAAACCCAGTAATACTTTGCCCGGCCCGGGAATCGAACCCGAGACCCCTTGCCCGGCAGTCGCACTTGCGACCACTCGGCCAACGAGGCAGTCGTATAAAGTTATGTAGTATTAAAGAAACCCATTATTGGATGTTTACTACAAAAAAAAAATTAATGGTTGGTACAAGAACTTCCACTAACATTATCTGAGAAGAAAACTATACAAAAACAAAACACGACGATCATGGACGTGATTCAGCACAAAATACGTTCGCACCTCCACCCGATATTAAAATAATATCGGTCCAAACGCTAGGATTTACCAAAATAGTATTCCGTTTGCACAAACAAACCATAAATTTGGAGATTTAAAAAGCTTTTACTTTGTTTGCCATGCTGTTTGGCGCAATACCATGTTGAATATAAAAATCGCTGCTTAAAATATCATGCTTCAATGCTGGGATACGCTTAACTGCGATTTCTGATATGAATATCTTAAACCTGAGTTGGAAACGTAAATGTATGGTCCATATTTCATTTTTGTAGCGATAAAATTTGAAGAAAGTGGTTACTATGACCCGCGAGGTTGGAATTCGCGTTTTGAAGGCGATTGATCGTTCGCCCTTACAACATATGGTTTTTATATGATTTATAGAGTAGGTACTTATACTAGCAATTTGGTATGATCTGAATACTAATATCTTAGTATCTTCTACCTTTGTATGTAGACAACAATGTTTTCAAAGTCAAAGTCAAAAGTCACAGTCAAAATCATTTATTTCAATTAGGCCAGAACGGCACTTTTGAACGTCAACAAAAAAAAATTAAAAGTGAAGCTAATTGCTCATTCCAAGGTGTGTCCTATGGAGAAGAACGAGCAAGAAACTCCATAGGTTACTCTTTTTCAATCAGATTCACAATACAATTTACTAGTTACATAGTTTTTCTGTTTGGATTGTGCGAGAACAATGTAACACTAAAATCCAGTCAAAGTGATCAAAAAAAAAAATAACCTTAAGGACAATAATACAGTCTGGAGCTGTTTGGACTTTTCATTACGCAACAATATATGAATCAAAAATATTTATTTGATTACGGCGAAAATCGGTACAGTCAATTACCTCAACAGACTTCCCGACATCCAATCCATTTTATTACAAACAGCTTCGCATAAATTCCCATACTAAATACGAACGCAAACTACCAGGCAATAATAAGTTGAAGAAGTATTAAGTGGCAGATTTCGAGAGCAAAAAGCCACGATAACAGCAGGGACGTCGTTTAGCGTTATAGCCGAACTTCTAACGAGCTGTCATAAACTGGGTATTTACTTGACGCACCTCCAAGTGTGCTCAAGGTAAAAATGTACTGTACGAGCGCTGTCGTAAAATCTTATGATGTTCCTTGAACGGCTGCTCTCCTGGTACCTAGAAGCAAGGAAGTGTTCTGCTATTTGAAATTTTAACTAAATATCTTACGTTAAAACATAGTGCTTGTTTACATTCTAATATGCGGTATGTTTCTGGGTCAATTGCTGTTTTGGAATCTTGAGAAGATTTTTATTTTTATCGTTCTTGCTTATTATAGTAAAATCTTTTAGTAGCTGAGACTTGGTTTAATCTACCAATATTCACTTGATACTTTAACTGCCTCGTTGGCCAAGTGGTCGCAAGGACGACTGCCCGGCAAGGGGTCTCGGGTTCGATTCCCGGGTCGGGCAAAGTATTATTGGGTTTTTAAAAAAATCTGAGTAAAAGCACGGAGTCTGGAATTGTGCCCAGTATATGGTAATAGGCTCACCCCCTATTACATGGGACTCATAACATAAATAGTGAAAAGTGGGTGTTACGTTGTACAATGGCAAAATATGCATTTCTGCCTACCCCTTCGGGGATAAAAGGCGTGATGTTATGTTATGTATTCAACTAATTTTAGAGATAATAAAAATAGAATAGTTTCACTACTTTTTCACAATGATATCATGTTTGTTCTTCCTCTCCCATGACATGACGTCATATATTGAAATGACCAATGCGCATTAAGGCGGATTGCTTAAGCAAGAGAAATAATATAATGCTTACATATTCCTTCTCAGCAGTGGCATTTATGGGCAGACGATGTGTGCTATGATCTCAAAGAAACAAATAAAAGTCATGTATTTATCAATTCTAAAGAACACGAGTACTACTAAATTAACTAAATATCGCGGGTTACTCATGTGAATATACTGACAAAAGCTCTACTAGTTTCGAGTCACAGAGGAGCTCTTCCTCATGAGCAGCGAGCGCGGTCGCGGTGATGTCGTGCAATCTACATCGAAACTAGTAGAGCTTTTCTCAGTATATTCACGTGAGAACCAGCGATTTTTTAGTTAACGAGTTAAGTAAATTATTAGATTCTAGTTGCGAACATAAAATACCGTACCGATACCAATTTTAAACCAAGCAAAGAAATAAGCTACTCCAATAAGTAACGAAACATCTCAGTCATTGAAACAGACAAACAAACGAACAAAAAGTTTGTCCACAGCTTCAATTTTGTTTGACCTTGAAAACTCAAAAGTAAGAGAGAACACTTTTCTTCGTTCCCAGTACTTTGGAGTTAGTTATTAACTTTTGTTCGTAGTGTCGGAGGAGTGACAATGAGTATAAATTGCCTATTACGACCGCCATCATTATTAAGTTTGACAATGTCCTCCCGTCATACTTTTCATTTTTGCCTCTTCCCTCCGTTTCCCTTTGATTATAATCTAAAAATTAAGGTTGGTTATTTCCTTGACAATACTTGTAAAAAGTTCCTTTATTTAGTTAATTTCTTATTTCTGTTTAGCTGGCTCGTTGGCTTATAATAAATACTTAAGAAGTTACGTACTTTTCGTAAAAGATGGCCTTTTTATCTGCCAATTCCCATAGAGTAAATATTTAATGCACAATTTGTGCCTGACTGTCTAAATATAAGGATGTTATACAACGTATTTTGATTTCAAAAAAGAAAAGGTTCTTAATTTGATCTGAATGAATGTATGTTTCTTGCACGAACATCTTGCGACTTTATTATATCGACTTAAAAAAACAGGGCGATAAAGTCGGTTTTTTTAAGCGTAGGTATTTAATAAAGGAATTATTAACCTTGTATGAAAGAATTATAATTTGTATCCACTAAATATTAGTGTTTGGTCTACAAATTGTTTTCAGGGTTTGTCTGCAAATTGTTAAAGTTTAAACAAGATGTATTTCTTTTGTCCACAGGAACAGTGAATTCATTGAAGTCACTGCAGATTCACGTGCCAACAGCAGTGCTAACAGGCTATGACGCAGAACTAATGTGTACTTACGAACTGGAAGGTGCACAATTGTATTCTATAAGATGGTATAGAAATATGATTGAATTTTATAGATACGTTCCCAAAGAGTCGCCTGCGACTAAAGTATTTCCAGTAGCTGAAATTAAGGTTGATGTGAGTATATTTTAAAATATTTTTCTCCAAACGATTATGAATGGTAATACTAGTACGTTTAGGGTACAATTTCTCCGAAAATAGTCATAGAGATATTGCTAAACTATGTTTTTTTTTCATGGATATGTAACGTCATGAATTAGGTCATAAAAACGTTGACTCGTTGGCCGAGTGATCGCAAGTGCAACTGCCAGGCAAGGGGTCTCTGGTTCGATTTCCGGAGCAGGCAAAGTATTACTGGTTTTTTTTTAATCTCAGTAGTAGCAAGGAGTCCGGAAATGTGTCCGGTATATGGCAATAGGCTCACCCCCTATTACATGGGACTCATAACGTAAATAGTGAAAAGTAGGTGTTACATTATACAATGTGCATAATATGCACCTCTACCTACACCGAAAGTGTACAAAAAAATATTAATATTATTATTGCACCTATAAGTACTTCAAATAGGGTAGATAATTAATTTTTGTTTTAATGTCCGTCTGGTAGATTATTTTAAAATATTACGCACATGTTTTTTATTATCTTACGAAAACAAAATACTTTCGATGACGTCACTTTTGTGTACGTTTTATACAAAAAAATGACGTAGTTAGTACCCACTCCTATATTTTGACTAGGTTTATTTAAGTATTGTTCTTATACGACAAAATAAAAAAATACGTGTCTAATATTTTTTCATAACCTATCTGACGGACTAATTAGATTTTTAATTTTCATATCCTGTCATCATCCTTATTACAAGAAGTCATTATAAAGAACTTTCTATTCCAGGTAGCAGCTTCAGACCAGAACAGGGTGGTACTAACGGAAGTAGACCGTACATTGACAGGAGAGTATCAGTGTGAGGTGTCAGCAGACGCGCCTCTCTTCCATACAGACATCAAAGCAGCTATGATGGTAGTAGTCGGTGAGTTACCGAAACAAATCTTGGAAAAAACACCATTTATAGGTTGAGTGAGTGAAATAACGAACGACACTTAGGGGAAAACTCAACTTATATTGAATTAATTACATTTGGAGCACAATAAACGGAATAAGACAGAACTTGCATGAATATAACAAAGACAAACGTTAGCGTAACGGATTTAAATGTGAATTAGTCGGCGCGCGGCTCGACCGCGCGTGCGCCCGGTTTAATAGATTTCGCGTCACTCACTAGAGTTGCGGCGCGGGCGCGGACTCGTGCCGAGCGTCGAGCTAGAGATGGGGTGTGCAACGATACATTAGTCTTACTAATGCGCGCTATAATTTATAATTTTATTCCTTTTTTTAAGGGGGTAAAATCATCCAATGACTTCTCCGGCCTTGGGTTGGCGAGAGAGAGTGCCAGACTCTTAATTACTAAAAACCACCCCGTTCCTACTCCTGCTCATCGAGCCGGAGCCCCAACAACCCGTTAGACCTTCCGCGGCTCCGTATCGGGCATTAGCCCTACTGGGCCCCCTAATTTTATTCCTGGAATCACTTCGTAGTATGAAACAAAGTCGCTGTCCGATCCGCCGTCTGTCTGTCCCTATGTATGCTTAGATCTTTAAAACTACGCAACGGATTTGGATGCGGTTTTTTAATAGATAGAGTGGTTATTAGGAAAGTTTATATATTATATAATACATGCAAATTGCACCCATACAAAGCCGGGGCGGGTCGCTGGTTATATATAAGGAAGAGAATATTATCTATACAGATAAATAAAATTGGAATGTCTGTGAATATTCTAAAATTCATATTTTACGCGGACGAGGTAGCAGACAACAGCTAGTAAGTAATAAACGGTTTAGAACAAGGTTTACTACAAGAGTCGTGAATTAGATGAAAATTTTTGATAGCTATGAGAATGATTAACTTGATAAGTTAAATACTGGTATTTAGTAAAAACTTAAAAACTCAAAATGGATTTAAAAATTGTAGTGATTAAAGATCCTAATTGAAATACATAATAGACGCATTACTCGCCCCTATAATTTTTGGTTTCCCTAGGATTCCATTATCAGATCGTGACCTCATGGAAATGGAACCATCTCGGGGTATACCCTTTCAAACAAAACAATAATTTTGGAAATCGGTTCACAAATGGCGGAGTAACCGGTAAACAAACAAATAGAAAAAAACTAAATCAGCCGAACATAGTACCTTCACCTATTTTAATAAACGGCATTAGACATTGCATCGTGCACTTTTGCTAATAGTACATGTGATAAATGTCATAATAAGGAAAACTTGTAAAAACTAAGACTTAATAACAAAGGAAATTTGCCATGAACTACATTTTAGACTATACAACATAATTTATTGTTGAAAACATTGCATTTTTAGTCTCGCTCAGTTTTTTTATGGCATAAGCCGGTAAACGAGCAGACGGATCACCTGATGGTAAGCAATCAGCGTCGGCCATGGACACATGGAACACCAGCGTTACAAATGCGTTACCGGCCTTTTGGGGATTAGGAGTTTGAGGATCGTTGGGGATTCAGGAATTGGGGAGACTGGGGAAGGGGAGGGTAATTGGGTCTCCGGTAACCTCACTCACACGACGAAACATAACGCAAGCGTTGCTTCACGTCGGTTTTCTGTGAGGCCTTGGTATCACTCCGTCGAGCAGGCCCATTTGTGCCGAAGCATGGCTCTCCCACACTTAAAATCAGTAATTTTTCTTTGGCCATAATCCTCGACAACGTTGTAACAAAGTCTCAAGGTGACAACAAATTCTTCAAGCCTACTGCTAATCCGAGCAGCTGTTAAAATCTCAACATTTTAATTCGCTCCTTTAATTTTTTACGAAAACAGATGCTAAAGTCCTCCATTTAGAATTTACATAAATAAATTGCAATGTTTTCTCCAACGCCAAATATAGGGTTAATGTCTTGTAAACCAAATTTTCTTTTAAATTCCCCTTTAGTTCGTCTGAATAATTTGCCACCATTTTGGGGGAGGTTGTAAAAGGTACCCTGTTATTTATTTAATAAGGTTCATTTCGTTTTACTTTGTTTAATTAGGTCCTTCTGCTAATCTGGCAATTCCAGGCGTAAACTCTTTTGATGGACGATTTTCTGTCCTATTTAAACAGGCCTAAGAGATAAGTTGGATAAACTTTTAAATCGTACCGATTTTATTAATTGTGTAACTTTTTATATTCGTTTACATTGTGTGTAATGGGATTTTTTAAATATTTGGCCTTACCATACCATACCTAATTAAAATCATATGAATAGTAAGTGTTCTACATTGATCAATCCGCTATTTGACATACATGCATATACCTCTACTAACACTTAATTTTTTTCTACTATTGTTCAGCTGTATATAGTCACATCTCGTTTTAGAAATCCATTTATGTTTTCCTTAAAAACTTCCTGTATTGTGTTATAGTAAACAGACTTTTCACGATTCTTCTATTACATAGATGGTTGCTCAGTCTCTGATTGTGTGTTTACAAAGCACTCGAAAATCTGTTATGATGAATACAAAAAATCTATGAAAACAAATATCCCTTCGCACTCAAATCCACTTTGAAAATTATTTAGTTTTCGAACAAAGGCATCTAATCCGTCAGAAAGGTTGGACCGGTCACCATCTGCCTCAAACCCTTTCGCAGAATCTTTTATTAGGTTAGCAGAAATATTGCATATTCACAATACAGATGGCGTTCTGTCGACAAAAATGAAACGAGCTCCTATTTCAATGGCAGAGGGTTGTTTTTGCCAATCAATGTATTTTAGATTTTTTTTAAATTGAATACCTTTTAGTGTAACCGTAGACGAGTTGGAAATATTTTTATATAGATGTCGTGTTTTGTTTTAACTTTTCCGGGTGAATATAGTAGACATACAATACGTACCTACATATAAAATATTAAGTATTACGTATAACTCCAAGCATTTTTAATGATTTAATGGGATGAAATTTAAAATAAAAAGTATAAGTTTGACTGCCTTGTTGGCCGAATGGTCGCAAGTGCGACTGCCGGGCAAGGCGTCTCGGGTTCGATTCCCGAGTCGGGTAAAGTATTACTGGGTTTTAAAATATTCTCAGTAGTAGCACGGAGTCTGGAAATGTGCCCGGTATATGGCAACAGGCTCACCCCCTATTCCATGGGACTCGTAACATAAATAGTGAAAAGTGGGTGTTACATTGTACAGTGGCATAATGTGCACCTCTGCCTACACCTTCGGGGATAAAAGGCGTGATGTTATGATTATTATTAGTAGTCGATTGTATTCTGTATAATAAGTCTAGATAGACTAGTACCGTACAATTTAATCTGTCAAACACCAAGCGGTCACCGGTGACCGCGACCTATTGTTCTTTAATTGTGTCTATAAAACCGGTACTCGACGAGTTAATACGTATAACATCTGTACACTACTGCAGGGTACAAAATATATGGAATTAGGTATTTGTACATACATGTACATACATGATAATAATACCTACTATACTCAGTAATTTCTAGAACTTGTAAATTATACACGAAAATGTTATCTACATTGAATTTATACGTATCCCTATCGTTAAAATAATAATAATATATGTATATGTTTTACACATACGTCACATACATAGATTTTCTTCGTATGTCAATTGTATGAACGTTATTCTAGGAAAATCTAAATTTTTGAAATTCTAGTATTTCTATTCAAATTAATTAATGTTTCGTTTACAATTCTGCTAAACTTGGTTATGGCTTTTGTGTTCTCCTTTCGGTAATCTGTTTTTATGTCTACCACAATTTGATTCCACGTAAAAAAATGTTACAGGTAATCTGATTTAGGTTTTATAATAGACCCCTGTAATATTTGTTTTATTTTTCTAAATAAGTTCAATGGTAACATAATTTTAGATTCGCTGTAATATAAGTTTTGCATACTGGCTTCCATTACGGAGGTTAATAAAGTAATTGTTGTTCTATTTTTATAATAACTATCATGAGAGATTTGACTGCATGCTTGGCGCGGTGGCCGGGCAACTGGCTGCCGCGCAACGTGTCTCGGGTTCGATTCCCGCACGGAACAATTCTTTATGTGGTCCACACATTGTTGTTCCAGATCTGGGTGTAATGTGTATGTGAACTTGTATGTTTGTAGGCGCACCCACGACACAGGAGAAAATCCTAGTGTGGGGCAACATTTATTTAAAAAAAAAATATTCACCCTGAATTAACTAAAATTACGAGTTGCCCACGTAAATATAGGTAAGCTGCGCGACATGGCCGTGACCGTCCACGCTGCGCATGAGGAGGACCTCTGTGACTCGAAACTAGAAGAACTTTTCGTAGTATATTTACGTGGGTAACTCGTAATTTTTAGTTAATATTTGTTGTTCGATTAAACCAGCATTCTTTCTAACTAATACAAACAAATATTTGTGATTGAAAGCAGAGCTCTTTGACAGTTAATCTTTTTAGGCCTTTAACAAATTATGCTATGCCAAGCTCGTAATGTAGGTAAATTAAACTGTTTAACACCGCGAGGACACCGGTGACCGCAACCTATTATTCTTTAATTGTCTATAATGACGGTACTCAAAGAGTTAAAGTTAAAATTAAATTAAAGATGGCTGTGACAAAACATACTTGTATACTGGTTCGCTTAAAAATATTTTTTGTCACCATTTCTTCATGAACATAATTAAGAAGACGATCTTCAACTCAATTACTAACTCTGATTATAATACACAACATGTTTAATTCCCATTTCTCCAACAGAACCGCCTCTAACAAGTCCAAATGTGACGTCAGATCGTATCTCGTACATCGGCGGTGACCACATAAGGGCAAACTGCTCATCACCGCCGTCACTACCCGCTGCCAACATCACGTGGTACGTCAACGAACAAATGGTGAGTCCATGACGTCAGCTTGTCCGCTTGGGTCACTGATTATGATTGGGTACAGAGAGTAAAGTCGTGTGAGTGTGAGAAATTGTAAATTGGAAAATGTTTGGCTGTATTTTGCTAATCCTAGGATTTTGTTCCGTACTTATTGGTACCAAATCTTCATGGTTTGCATGCACCATAGTCTAAACACCAAAAGTATAACTATTCAATACAAAAGTACACATTACCTTAGTCACAATCAAAGTCAAAATTATTTATTTCAATTAGACCATGAAGACACTGTTCAAGACACTTTTGAAAAACAAAACAAAATATTGAAATATTAAAAAAATACAGTCTGTCGGTCAGTCCTCTAGTGAAGCTATTTGCTCGTTCCAAAGTGTAGCAACCTATGAAGAAGAATGAGCAAGAAACTCTATAGGTTGCTCTTTTCCAATCATACTGAAACCTAAAGCGTTTTGCACAAACAAACAATTACTTATAAGTAAAATTTTGCTAGGGCAATAAAAATTTACAATAATGCATTTTAAGTTCTACTACCACGGTCAAGTTGCTAATTTTTGTTTTATTTCCAGGTTCCCGGTTTCACAGCCAACCACGTGCTCAACTATAGCAATGGCTACGCATCCAGTTTAGCGACGCTGGAGTTGGAAGCCGCCGTACATTCCCCAGTGCCTACACTCATGATACGGTGAGATAGTCCTATATTAAGTATCATTGTCATATTTAAAAAGGTAATCAATTGTCTTAGGCGTACTCATCTTTACGGTATTTTTTATGTTATAGCAGTCGTGAGACACACTAAACTAATTAATATGTTTTAACGGCTTACTTATGTAATTATCTGACAAGGAACTCGACTAGTTTCTAGCCATGCTAGAGACTCGTATTGAAGAGCAGCATTCCGCGAATTTATCAAATAATAGGGTAGTTGCCATGAAATGAAAATTAAAATCTAATTAGTCCGTCAGTTAGAAAATGAAAAAAATCAGACTTATATTTTTTTATTTTCTCCTATAAAGTTACAATAGTTAGATAAAATGGAGTTAAGTTTAGGAGGGAGACCGTTACGTCACACGATATTTCAGATTAATATACCGTCAAAAGTATTTAAATTTGTGAGTAAAGAAAAAATACGTGTCTAATATTTTAAATTAATCTACCAGACGGACATTAAAATAAAATTTAGGCAATGTGAGTAAGCCAAAAAATATAATAATTACTGTATTGTTGATTAAAAACTATTTCTTAAATGGTATTTTCTCTTGCAGATGTGAAGCGTCAATTTTTGACGTTTGGAGATCGACAAGTCATACGATAGTGTTACGGGAGAGAAGTGCTAACCCTGCTTCAGCTTTAGGCAGAAGTTTTACAGGTAATTTGGGATTAAAACTAAACTGTAGCCATCATATTATAAGGTTCGTTTTGCACAATTTTCTTTAATTTTTGAAAATCGTGGCGTAGAAAGAAGAAAAGACACTTTAACACGAATATTAGAAGTGTAACAAATATGGCAATATCTAATAATTCTGTGCTATATCTGTCTTGAACTCTATTTTATCTTCAATAATGTTTATTTTATTAGAAAACAATAAAACATAATAAAATAGTGTGGAATGAATGACATACATCGAATAATAACAACCTCTATCAAAATTACATACCTCACTAATTTCATTCGAATATATGTTCAACAGGTGCAGCAACAGAGACGTGCCTCCCAACAATAATGGTACTACTACTCCAATTCTTCCTCCAACTCCTACAGAGATACAGTGGAACGTCAATAAGATAGCTGTAACGCCTACTTATAATGTAGAAGTAATCATTTGTACGTAAAATACGGTAATTAGATTATATCAGGGTTGAAGCAATTGGAACGGAATTTACGGTAATATAAATAATTGTCCATACGTTTGATTGTACAGATACAGATACAGGACGATTTTTTGCAATGAAGGAATAAAATAAAATAAATTTTAGTTTGCAAAGGGATGGAGTCCGTTTTTCTTCAGCAGTATTGGTTTCTTTTTAAAGATAAAATCAAAACTTGCATATATATGTTTATAGTATGACTTGTAATAAGTAGTGTTTCATTTAAATATACTTTAAAAAAAGAACACCATAATTGTGAACACGACTAACATTTTTTATTAGACCACCCAATAATTTTCGACCACGAAATACAAAATCAAAACACCATCTAAAACTGTCACTGAGTACTCCATACACTAACGAATCCGTGTTATATGAATAATGCTTTCATTTTGTGCCATTAAGTGCGTGGGTTGGTTTTATTGCAAACGACTAGCCAATCCTACGGTTCCAATTCTGATAATATAAACGGCTTAATAGAGTGTCGGCTGTGTTTTGAGTACAGATTCAGCCATTCTGTTATAATTATATCTCATCTGGTTTTATATGGAATACCTAATATGTTAAGGACTTTATTTGTGAGCGTAGGTGACGATTCGTATATGGCCAGCTTCAATACGTGACGTAATAAGTGACGGTAAATTAAATTTGGTTAAAAATAGAATTTTATAGGACATTTTGTACGGAGCGTAGGTATGTTAAAACTTAAATCTGCTGATAGGTTGGTTATAAATTTTATTACAAATTAGTCATTAATGAAATATTATTTATATTTATTTATTATTATTTACTAATTGTACATGATCTCCCGGCGTTGTGTTTCTATTGCAAATAATTTCATTTCGATGAATTAAATCGCTATTCACTACACAAAACCAATATTATAAATAAACAACAATCAATTAAGCTTTTTTTCTCCGAATTTTACGAACAGTAATGGAATTGAATGCAATGAAATGTAACTGTTCCATGTAAATGAATTAATATATTATTGCAATTAAATAATAGTTTGTTATATGAAGCGTGTATTATTATCATTATTTATGCGATCGATAAATACTTCAAATACATTTTTGTCAGTATATTTATATTATTAGTGGATTTCACGATAATTTGGAAGATACACAGGATATTTTAATAACCTGGAGTACCATAACAATAGGAAAAAATAAATACCAAATTAAATTTAATAGCACATACTATATTTCTTACAGAAAAAATAAAGTCAAAATTATGTTAACCTATATTTTCATTTGATACGTCATGAGTAAATATTCATTTATTTTGACTTTGATAGCATAAATAGTAACAATAATAAACCCTTATAATAACAAAATAATATAAGGAAATTATACTGTTAACATAGACTGATTACTTAGATTAATTCATTGTAAATAATTACAATAGCAATTTGTTTGTAAATATTTACAAACCAAATTAATAATAATGTTCATTTTTAATCATAATAATAATGTTAATATTTCTTATAAATAAGTGTTAGTCCAATTAATTATATTATTATTATATACGAGAAAATACTTGTTATATTATTTAATTAGTTGAATAAAACATTTTATGTTTAATAATAAATGATATTTTGATTAGCTTTATGTTTGTTAATAGTAATTAATTATTTAATCAAACACTTTGTTTAATGTGAATAATATTCACAGAATTATAATAGCAATTGTATAAGTTGTACCGTGTATTATTTAAAAAATATATTACATTGTTAAAAAGCAATTATTGCTGTTTATTAAATCCAAAAATAGCTAGCAAGGCTGTGTTTATAGATAAATTGAGATGTTAAAATAATAATTAAATTATTGGTTAAATTAATTTGCTATACTTTAAAATTGATGGTGCATTAAATAATTGTATATTATAAAGTGTTAAATATTATTATAAATTTGTAAATAGTCATGAAAATATTGTTGTATAAGAATTAGTAATAACGTTTTTAAGAACTGGAATGTACGAACGAAGTAATTATTTTTATTGTGTAGGTAATCTTAAAACCTGAAGTTATACGAGCCATACGCATAATTATACGAAGTTAAAACTGGAATTTTAACAAACCCAGTGAGTGCTGTTTTATTAATTAACAAGTATTATTTTGCAGAATATTTTAATACACGATATAAATATAAACCAAATATTTTATACAAATAATTGCATAGTAAAGTTCGCCATTTATAATTTACTTCCCAAATTATTCTTAAATAAACTTTTCGTCTCACATTCAATAATATGATATATCTTTATATTATTATTTATTACAAAATATAAAATCTCTTGCTAATTTTTAATCCCTTATTCAGTTTTAATATAAAAATATATTTAATCTATGGTTTGGTTATGCAAATCAATTTGATTTTCACTGTTCTTACCTACATTTAAAACCGTCTTTAACCCTTCCTTGAAAGTAAGTCACTATAATAATGTGTATATGATTTATTTTACTTTAATTATTTGCAGCCTTGAAAACATCTTCATAAATCAATGCAGGTCTTTGTAAAAATCTTCTAATGGCTATAAAATATAATTATGTAAAACGTTTCCCTCTATGTATGTTTCGATTGAAAGACATTCCTTATTTGTTTTGGTCTTGTAACTTAAATCTCCCACATTCCTAACTACAATATATTCACCTAACTGTGCATTAAATTGGACATAATTCTAGCTACTAATGTATTGGTAAAATAAACTGAAAATAAATAAAGAAGGTAATAATTGTATGCTTTGTTTTTTATTTATAAAATCATCTCTTCAAAAGTCCGCTATTTGACATTCAAATTCAATGCATTGACGTCATAATCGATAATTATGTATTATTAAAGACGTCTGCATTTTCACTACAACTCTACCACTACACAATTGGGATTATACTGGAATTATAGTAATAATCCCAGTGGGCTACATGGGGTTCTTCAAGAGAAGGAGTGAATAGGTTTTTAATGGTCGGCAAGACGCATGTAATTCCCCAAGTGTTGCAGGCGTACATAGGCCACGGTAACCGCTTACCATCAGGTGGGCCGTGTGCTTTTTTGCTACCGTCGTGGCATAAAAAACTAACTAATGTATCTGTGTAACAAATCCAAAAGAGTATAAATTAAGTATGTGTTAGCTTATTAATTAGATATCATATGTTTTCTGTACTTTGTAACATGCTAATAGTAGTTTATTAATTATCGGATATTGTATCAACTATTATTATAGAGCAAACCGTTAATATTTTGTAATTTAGCTATAATAACTACAGTTTGTAAAAGGAAATAAGTCATGAGTACGGTTGTTATTTGAGCCGCAGTGGCGTCCTCGCCGTAAGGACGCATGGTGGGGGTGGCACGACGACGTGGATCGAGGATTCATTAGAGCGGCAGCGGTCGAAGAGTGGAGGCATACTTGTGTCGACATTGTAATATAGAAGTATAGTCAAAGTTAATAAAGCGTGATTTTGATAATACGGCGTTTTACTTTTGAGATCGATCCTTACAACTCAGAAGTGGGATCAACAAAAATCAAAAGGATTTTTTTTTTTCTTCGCCACGCCACAAAACGTAAGTAATCTTATCGCATTTTTATTATTATCACATTGCAAAATTTTATTTCATTGTTTTAAAATATATCGACAAGCAATTTTATTATTTAACATGGCAGCTCTTTTATAAAATCATGATTTATATTATGTTATAAATTATATTTATCACCACAATTTAGACTGGTGGGCGTTGGTGAACTAGACAATCATTGCTTTATTTTTTTTTATTGTACAGCTATACGCGCTAAAATATGAAGGTGGTCATAAAATTTATATTTAATATTCTTTTTTTCTTTTACTATTCACACAAGTGGCTATAACAATAACAATATTCTTGTTAAATACAATTTTACCGTTGGACCAGAAATGAGTCACCATTTAAATCTTAACGTCCACCTTCGATTTCTGATAAAATAAAATTACCCTCATCTTGGTTTCGCACTGTTTTCTCAATAGTCGAAGGGACTTGAAAAAACAATTTTGTTTAATAACCTAGACGTTCGTAATACTACTCGTACGTAGAACTCCGCTAGTAATGAAGACGCTTCGAATATGTTCGTGAAAAATAATCACCAGTTCACGTTACTTTTCTTCACTGGTATCATTAGCCTTATTACCATTCTAACAAAAGTAAACTGTCGTACTTGTCACTCCCGGAAAACCTATTAATGGATATACCTACATATTTTGTTTTTTTTATTATAATGACGACTTTTATATATTTATTTTTTTTACAATGCAATTAAATCTCAATACTGTAAGTTTCAGAAAATGGAAACTAATCACGACCCAGGAGCGCCCAGGTCACAGGGCCGGGGTTTCTATCTTCATGACCCAGGAGCGCCCAGGTCACAGGGCCGGGGTATCAATCTTTATGACCCAGTAGCGCCCAGGTCACAGGGCCAGGGTATCGATCTATATGACCCAGGAGCGCCCAGGTCACAGGGCCGGGGTATCGATCTTCATGACCCAATAGCGCCCAGGTCACAGGGCCAGGGTATCGATCTACATGACCCAGGAGCGCCCAGGTCACAGGGCCGGGGTATTGATCTTCATGACCCAGTAGCGCCCAGGTCACAGGGCCGGGGTATCGATCTTCATGACCCAGTAGCGCCCAGGTCACAGGGCCGGGGTATCGATCTTCATGACCCAGTAGCGCCCAGGTCACAGGGCCGGGGTATCGATCTTTATGACCCAGGAGCGCCCAGGTCACAGGGCCGGGATTTCGATCTTCATGATCCAGCAGCGCCCAGATCACAGGGCCAAGGTTCCGACCTTCATGACATAGAAGCACCCAGGTCACAGGACCGGGGTTCTAATGACGGTGATTCAGACAAACGAGTATCTGGGGATCGTCGCCAGGTGAGTCCAATTTTAAC